TGCCCAAGGACACAACGACCGAGACTGTCCGAGCCGGGGCTCGAACCGGCAACCTTCGGATTACAAGGCGAACTCCCAACTCTTGAGCCACGATCGCCCTTAATCGTGTGTTTTGTCTTCCCATGTAAGTTATTTGGATTCTTCCTTTTGTTCTGTTTGAGTTCAGCATTAAAGCTGTTTGAGTTTACGTTTGTCTCTGGAGTCTGCACTTTGGGTCCTTTTCCTGCCTGCACACAGCCGTTACATAACAAAAGCTAGATGCTGTGATGGTCTCTGCATTGATTTTAAGGTGATGATTTCACCTTTGGTTCCACTTGGCTTCTGTCTGCAATATCAATATAGACAACATCCACTTTCTTCCAGGTTTCGGCATCCAAACCGTGTACCTGAAACAGAGACAGAGAGAACAAAACTAGATACTGTGTCTGAAGGCAAGTTTCTCCAGGCAATAAAATAGCGTTTTAATAACATAACATTTACATTTATGCATGTATAGTAGCACTGTCCCAGTAATTATGAGCACCTACAAAAGGGGGATGCAATGTGGATTTCAAATAACAATTATGAAGCAAATTTTGATTAGGAAACCACTAAACAACAGAAAACACAACCACAGGGGAGGAAATTAGACTACAAACCTCACCATCGATAAATTAAACATTTTGTAAAAAAAAAAACCCCAAAAAAAACAACCACATTTGTGCCATCTGCATTGTTTCTACTCAAAATATGGACATTCAACTTGCTGCATGTAGCACCAAAGGTCATTATTGCCATTAATAATTACATTTTCAAGGTGTCCCATATCAGGTTTGTGCCATGTCTCAATCTTGATCAAGAAGTTATCTTTCATATACTCATTCTGCAGAGAAAACACAAGTAAAATTGAGTGAAACAGGAAGAGTAATTCTTCATGAAAATATGTAAGCATATATATATATGTAAAATATCACCTAATTTCTGTTCTCATATACACACACACCAGCGCATACAGCTGTGTATCCAGGACTTAAGAGGACATTACATTAACTTACTGTAACCCTAATCACCTTAATCATAATTAAACATTTCTAAACTTAACCTTAACAAAATTGTTTTTAAACAAAGTTTTTAATGATTTCTGTAATAGGGAGCCCCCCGCCCCAATAGAAAAACACATCTCCATATTGTGTGAACAGATTTAGGTCCCCATAGCTTGAGTAATACATGAAGCACACACAAAGTAATGGTGTCTGACTACGCCTGCTGCTTCGCCACTGAAATAGATCACATTTCTTTCTCAACTTTCAGGTTAACTCGCTCGCTCTCTCTCAGCATCAAGGTTTGAGGTGTCTTTTGTGTCAACGCACACGATTTCCAAAGTAAACACGCATACTTACAGTGATGACTGCAGCACCCGATGGCAGACAGCGCAGGAGCGGACAGAGAGAAACACAAGAATAGTTGAGTTGAGGAACATTTGAAAACACTACGAAACACTCCCAATACACATTAACAGTATTGGACAATATACAGATGTCACGAGGAATTGTTAAACACCAGTTGTCAGTGTGTGTGTAGGTACAGGTTGTGCCTTTGCCTGTTCTGTGTGTTTGTATGACAGATGGCTGTCTGGCAACTGGCAGGCTGTGTGTGATCTCAGCCTGAAAGGCTCGAGTGATTGCACAGCTCTTCTCTCTGGGCATACAGTAAATTATTCAGCTACTCTTTCAAGGTGACAAAGACCCAGAGACACACAGTTAGCAAGAGTGTGCGGTTGAATGTGTACCGCCATTATTTAAATCAGTTATCTTAAACCCCTATTAAACAAAAAAAAAAAAGTATATTTCTTTTACAAATAAAATCCACTGAGCGAGGCATCCCTGAGCTACAAAAACACATGATTCTGATAAATGTCACAAATCAAATCTGTATTTTATGTGATGAATATTACCAAAAACACAGAGATTAAGCATTTTGTGTGCTGGTATAAAGTGTCTCTGCGTGTATGTGTGTCGTACCTGTGCGACAGTATGGGTACGCGTTCCAGGCTTTCTCGTGGATATTGAGAGCTGAAGCTGGAGCCAACATTCTGACGAATGATGGCACTTTACTGCAGGGCAGAGGAGTGAAGAGAAAACAAGCCTAGTTAATTTTAAAGCTTTTTTATTTCAGTTATTTAACTTTATTATAGGTTCTCATATTGGAGGTCTTAAGCATCACAGCAAAACCTTCCTTTACCTGACCAAGTCCTTTATATTAAACTTTAGATTTAGCTTTGCAATGTAAACATAAATAGCTATAATACATATAAATGCCCACTATAAAGATCTAAAGCAACAAAAGCACTAAAACCTTGATAGGCAGAAACTACATGTGGTTGCTTCTGGTAGCTTACTTACATGCATCAGTGTGCTATCAGCATATTTAGATCTTTGTAGGTGAGCAAACAGTCCAGAACCCTAACCTTACTATCAGGTTTTCCTAAAAGCTTCTTGGAAAGCCTTCAGCTGATCCAAAACACTGCAGTGACAGTGCTAACATGGACTGGAATGAGAGATCAAATTTCTCCTTCTCTTTTTGCTTTGCTCCTAAAGGATAAACAAACTAAGTTCCGAATGATCATACCAAATGTTAAAGACCTCATAGTAAAACATTATCCCAGTAAAGCATCCCACTGTCAGAGTACAGGTTTACTATAGTAGAATAAGAAGCAGAGCCTTCAGCTATCAGGCTTCTCTCCTGTGAAACCAGCTCCCTTGGGATTCACGAGAAATATTCTCTGGGGTGGGAAGTGCTAAATGTTGCTATAATTTACTGATTATGTCTCCACTGCCCAAGTGTTTATTTGCCACTTTGCATGCTATGCTGTGTTACTATTTTATGTACTCTCTTTCCCCTCCAATCGATCCCTAAGTCTGGTTCTGCCAGACAGCTCTTCCTTCTAAAAGGGAATTTTTCCTCTCCACTGTCACCAAGAGTTTGCTCAAGATGCAAGATTCTTTTTCTGCATCGTCTGACACTGCAAACCTGTTGTACAAATACTTACCTCTGCAAATGGTATATTTTGTGTGTGTACTGTCCCTTCTCTCCATCTTTCTCATAGGGTTCATTTTTTAGCACCTCCACTCCTTCTCCTCCACCCGTCTCATTCTTACTGGCCTCAGCCACAGAGTACAGCTGGCCAACCTGGTACTGGAAAAAACAAAAATATATAAAAATAGTTGGATTGATGTAAAAACATGGCTTAAAGGGACAAATAAAAAGCTACTTCCTCTCAAGCCTACCTTAAAAGAACACATGCTGAAGTTACAATGTATTATTACCCAGATGAGTGCGCTTTCACAGGTATATTTTTTCATGTGCATTTCATCTTTTTCTTTGGATCTTTTCCTTGATTGCTCCATATTCCTCTCCTTCTTCCTGAAATCTCATAATCTCCCATATACTTATGCTTGCTCTCCACATTTTATTTTCATCCTGCCTACTTTTATGTCGCACCCGACTGTTTTTCTCTTTCACGACTTCTCAGTCTCACGCCTCTGTCTTCATCTCATCCCCCTCTCCCTGATCCCAAGTGTGCATGTGATTGTTTAAGCACAGGACAATGGCTCTTTCATTTCTTAATCACCTCTAATCCACATATAACCTCTGCACAAAGCTGGACCAGAACGCAGACACGCTTACAACATCGCAACGATGGGACAATTTATTATGTATTCTGACCTTTTAACAGGAGACATATAAAAGTTATTCTTTGTATTCAGACGTTGCTGGGTATAACTTCCTGCACTTCTGTGTCATTCACTAAAAATCAAATGATGAAAACGCTGATTATGTGTTTACGCATAATACAAGTTTCTCTTGCGGTCAGCAAAACCTGGCAAGCAGGAAACAAAGAGGATTTGACAATCTTCAGTAATCTCAACAAAAACTCATGCTTAGGCTGAAGAAATATGCTCCACCTGCCACGGCACGTTTGTATACATATACATACATTTATAGCGCACAGAAATAACTAAGCTTGACAGAACATCTCACGATGGAGTCAAGTGGTAATCTAATGCTCTCCTGTCCCTCCATGAACCTTCAGTGAGCATGGTAGACAAGCTCTCACTTCACTTTCAGGCAGTGAATGTTGCTATACAGTAAATCAACAGCAATATTCCTGCATCTGCCTGGCTCTAAAGCTAGTAAATAGTAAATTTACTTGTAAATTAACTTGACTTTTTAACATTAAAACATTGCACTTTATATTACATTTTTATGTAGTCAACAACTTTCAGTTTTCTCCCTTATCAAATGATTTGTCTGTCTTCAGTACATTTTGTAGCTCAAAGATGAGCCTTCTCTGAAATTTGGTGTTGGTAGTCCAGTGAGAGGCCTTAGGCAAGTCATGACTTAGGTAGTAATTTTAGATACCTCGTATAATTAGAGCAGGAGCTATGAAATTAATGGGGATGGTGAATTGAAGCCAAATGTTTAAAGATAAGTTTGGTTCATCTCACAGCACTAGTTCTGCTGAGTGTAACTAGACCAGTATGTGGGGGGTGGATTCATCTTTAGGTACCCACAGATCACTCTGTTCAGTGCAAAAACATAGTGATGAGTTGTGACTGCCAGATGTTTTAGATTTCAGAAAGTTGGTTTTGTTCATCTGGAAAAAAAAAGGATTACTCTGCAACAGCAGCAGCAATAAAAAAAGATGAAATGAGCCACAGAGGTTTAATTGACCTTCTTGAAATATGCAAACGATTACATTTTCTAAATAAGCAGTGAGTGTGACCATGATTGCTTCTTAGAGTTTATTCAATGACTAGACACATCTGCTGAGAAAAAAACAAACAAACCAAAAAAACTGGAAAGCCAAATGGACACTGGAGACGGTTCCCTCTGAACAGGCATGGATACTGTAGCTACCCACTGAAAAAACGGGATGCAGGAACAGCAAAGCCTCCTGGGTAACAGCTTTGGACAATTATAGCTCGACCTTGCCTTGTGGGATCAGTCTTTGTCCAGTTATGCCAGAACTTTCTACTTTTCATGCAAATAAAGTACTGATAAGCTTTATCTTAAACGGTGGCCCTTGGCAAGAAGTTAACAGACAGGAAATTCAATTTCAGCAAAACTCTTCAGGGAGGTTTTACCACCACCAGGCTCTGACAGTCAGTACAGTCTCACTGACAAAAAAAACACTGTTTCACTCAGTGAAATGGCAAATAACTGAAGACTGCTGTTTCAGAGAGTCTGAATTTAGAGAAGGAAACAGACATGCTCGAGGGATGTGATTCAGGGGACTGTTGGTTAACTGTCTTTAGGATTAGGTTTGTCACGTTTAACTCAAATATTTCCTTTTCAGTACTTTTTCAGCATCTGTTTGTGACACAGTGTCCACTTCTTGTGCTTTAGAGGAAATCCGCCTGATTATTAAGAGATATAATTGGAGATAATAAGATAATGTCTACAAACAGACACAGTTAAGAGAAGAAACATTAAAATCGGAAAACGCCTTTGGAGGAAATCAGTATTACTTATTTCTCACTCCACTGCTTCGTGGTTTTGATTTTAAACGAAAATATGAAACAGTATGATTTGGTCAAGTCTCCGATTTGAATTCTTGAATTCCTGTGACTGATCTGGCGTTTATGTGGCACACTGCAGCGTCTGAGCACGCACTGGTGCTTCACACCGATGCTTTAAGCTACAGTAAGATTAAGTGATTTAAATGTATTTAAATATTTTGTAATAAATGTGCAGTATTAGTCATAGGCCTCTACCAAAAGTAGATTAGACTGCTTTAATTTTCCAAAAATATAAAGGCAGAGGAAAAAGGAGGTGGGGAGTAAGCGTGATGTCATGGAAGCAGTTTCAGGTGACTCATTTACAATGCAAGCCTGAATAGACAGGCAGACTGCAATGGAAGTGATGACAAGACACGACAGATGGACGCAGACACAGAGTGTAAGGACAGTGAAATACTGTGTGGATTCAATGGTCTATCGAAGATAAGAGATTCTCTTAAGCTGGATTTTCCTATGCAGGCTGGATGTGTGTGGATATATGAAAAATGTGTTAGAACATGTGGGCATCAAAAATGTAAACACACAAAACAATCCAAAGGAGAGGAGCTTTACTGATACAGCTTCTGAGTAAACAGAGGTAAAAAATTTTTAAAAAATCAGATAACATAGGCTGAGCCTTGAGCAAACACACAGAGACACTTACACACATTGAAATATACTGAGATAGCACTTACCTCTTCCACGGAAATAGGAAGAATCACTCGACTGGAAAAGAGGGAAGAATACGTGAAATTACTCAAAATGTTACACTAAAACTCCTGAACTCATGCTTGTAATGTATACTGAACAATGGACAGATATGCAGCACAGTTCCATTCACACCAAATATGATGAACAAAAAAAGACATAAAAATCCAGATGATTCTGTTTAAACTGTTTAAGATGCTTCTTTTAATGCGCTGAAAACTCAAAATGTTTTTGGTTGTGATGTAACAGTTGAAGTTTAAGTCTCCAACATGCCCCTGACAGACTCAGGGGCATGTTGGAGACTTGGGCTCTTTCTTTTAAAAGTGAGTTCTTCCTCGCCACTGTCACCACAGGTTTCCTCATAGGGTTTTCTCATAGGAAATGGACAATTTTGCTATTGTGAAGTCAGATCTTTTGCTATTTTCATGCTACAATGGAACAATTCAAGTTTCTCAGAATCTCTATGTTGAGTTTTTTTTAACTGCCCTTGTAAAGCACACTGAACTTGTCTGAGTACAAATCCCCAGAAAGGTGTTTTCTTATGCCTTTGGCGGAAAATGAACTTCCTCTGTGAAAATGTCAAGCTGACAACATGAGAAGCCATGTTTAACTATTCAGCTTAATATTTATTGGGATACCAATTTTTCTCAAATACACACCCTTTTTGTTGTGCCGTGTGAGCAAAGGATAATAGTCTTTATCTGGATGTGCAGTATTGAATTATACAAAATATGTGACAGCAGCTAAACTTCAATTCATCGTATAACACAAGTTGTTCAGAAGTTATTCTTTAAGATGAAGTAAATGACAAATCGAACAAATCTATCCTTGTGTGCATGGATATGAGACATTTGGAAAAAAATAAAATATTAAAAGTCCCATTTAGTATAAATTTAATGTATTTAAATGTGACCCTCGTACCACTGAACCATTAAAACAAACAATGCATGATCTTTTTGCTGTTGCTTAGTTACAAATAAATCCTTGAATGTTTATACGGGCTATGTGAATGAAAACAGTCAAATTCACTTGCATAAACAGACATCAGATTTCTCTCATACAAGCAGCATTTGTTGGTTCATCTGCTGTTTTTGTTTTGCCTTTTCCAATAACTGCTGTGTCTAATTTTTTTCTGTTGTATCACTGTGTTTTAAAACAAGCACTGGGGAAATGCAGAAGCCCAACACACGGCCACATACACACATCACCAACAAACTTGTCCTGCAAAATCTGCATTTCACTCATATTGATAAAATGACATAAATGAAAGATAATGATAAAACATCCAACTAGGAGTGCTGAGATAGCATGTTGCATTATACAAGCTACAATAATATTTGTATACATACAAATATTATACTGAAAAATCTACTATTTTTATCATAGTAATCTATTAATGAGTTCATAATTTTATGCTAATTTATTAATCAACATGTAACTTTGCACTGTTGTTTTGATTAAATAACCCCATTTTGGATTTTATATTGATTTTTTTTTAAAAAAGATCACATACAATGAAGAATAATGAATAAAGTCACAATTAGAGAACTCTGGCGCATCGATGTGTATGGAAAAATAAAACTTTACAGTCCATCAACGCTAACAGTTACACAGATGCCCACACACATTTAGAATTCAACATCTTAGCAAAAACTCATTTTGCACAAACATGCAAGCACACACACACAACATCTGGGCTCTGTTACATTGCACACAATAAAGCAGCAGCTTAAACATACTGCACCGCCTCCTGCATCCCAGACCACAGAATGCACATGTACAGTATGCAGCTTTGTTGATTGTTCTGCGAGTGTGTGAGGTATGCCCAAATTCACTTAATCCTACATCCCATTCGCCACTGAGTGTAATCTGGCTCTGAGTCCCAGCCAAACACTGACCGGTAGACCAGATGCTGCAAAGAAGGCAGGGACAGGCCCTAATGTCAAATGACAACATTTGAGATTTGAATTTACCAATATAAGTTCTTTTTTCGTTTACAAGGGTTGCAGTTACATTGTTTTGTTTTTTTCTGATGCATTAAAATTATTACTGCTCATCTCTTTTTAAATGGTGAAAGAAATATCTGCGTGCCTAAGGCAAATATTAAAATTTAACCGTCGGTGTAAAAAACTCAGAAATGTAGTTGTCATAATGCTTGTTCTACACTCACTGACCATTTTGTTAGATACACCTCTTCAGCTGTTTGTTAATGCAAATATCTCATCACCCAGGCACAGGGCAATTACTCGATGCATTTAAGCACGTGGACGCATTTAAGGCGACCTGTTGAAGATCAAATTAAAAGGTAAAGAAGTAAGTTAGAATGTGGCATTGTTGTTAGTGTCAGAGGGGCTGGTCCGAGTATTTCCGAAAGTACCATATACTGG